CCAACACGCCTCTGTCTAGGAGCTGCCATAAAGACATTCTGCGTCCCTTGTCTTCGTGGTAGGTCCCGAGACCCTCGTTCCAGAGGGCCTGCCCCAGGCCTGGGAATAGAAACCCCTACGAACCCAGAGGCCAAGGAGAATCTGAACAGATCCCGGTCCTGCTGGGCTTCTCTGCCCCTCGGCAGCATCACTTAGCCTCGCCTCTTGTTCAGCCACGTGTGTTCTCATGGTCTGGCCGGTTCTTCATCTACCTAAGCATATAAAAACTAGTTTTAAGTGTCACATAAAACTTTTTATGGTTTAAAATTTTATCATTGTATTTATTTGGAGAAGGTCCCTCTGTCACCCAGGCTGAGGTGTAGTGACATGACCATAGCTCACTGCAACCTCTAACTCCTTGGGCTCACAACTCCTGCCCTGCCTCAGCACTCCCCAAGTAGCTTGGGACCAGCAGATGTGGGCCAACCATGCCTGTTAATTTTTAATTTTTTTGTATGATCCCTCCTTGGTATATTGCCCAGGCTGTCTCGGAAACTCTGGCCCTTCAATCCAACGTGCTGGGATTACAGGTGTTAACAAGCCACCACCGCTAGCGCCATATAAAACTTTGATAAATAACTATCTCAAATGTTTTTCTCTCATTAGCCTGTCTTTTTGTTATAGACGTGTCACCTGGTGACCCCTACAGCGGGGAGAAAAATGATCACACCGCCTTTCCTGCCCCTCCGTTTCACCTGCCCCTATTAAAGGCAAGGGCGACGAGAAAAAGGAGAAGGTACTGGAGACAGGAGGCAGGCGGCTGCCCGTGGCCAGAGGTGAGCGACTTAGAAGCGGCCGCGCGTGGGGCGACAGAAGCAGGCGCTGTGGGGAGACAGTGCACCTGCGTGTGGAAGCGTGGCCACAAGTCCTTGCCGCCTCTGGCGCGCTGTGATTCATGAGCTCCTCGAACACATACTCAGCACCAGCGGTCTCTGGCTGTGGTTTTCTGGCTCGTAACTGGCCCGTTGTGGCGCTCCGTTGTCTGTGTCGGTGCTCTGGCCCAGAGCAGTGCCGCAGGGAGCCAAGCGACTCTGCCTCCCCGCCCTCCGTACTAACTCGCTCTCTTTCTCCCAGGGCAGGGACCTTCTCCTGCCCCTTCCTACCTCAGACCTGCCTTAGCTGACTGTGGTCCAAAAGCCCTATTTCCAGGGGTCCGAAAGGGTCCTGCGCCCCATTGCGCCTGAGGAAGTGAGACTGCATGGCCGGGCCACGAAGAGTCTGGACAGGCCTTGCTGCGGGTTCTCCACAACTCAGCCGTTAGTGTTGGGTTCCCACCCCTTCGCCAGGCGCATCAACACCCATTCGTCTACATGGTCGATCCAGCCTGCGCAATGAAGTTCACCCTAAGAGAGCTTGGGCAGCTGAACATGTGGGCTCCTGGAGACCTGGGGCGGCCGTGGAGTCGCAACCCCTCCCCCAGCCTCCACCCATGTAGCCTTGTCATGAAGCAGTAAATGGAGTGAGTGCCTCCCCGGGTTACCAGAGCCAGTCTCGCAAATTACCGACCCCAATCAGAGGGGTCAGGAACCCCAAGCTTCGAACGATCTGATCCAGAAACGTCCAGCGGGGCCCGGACTGTAACCCAAAAAGCCAATAGTAACACCCTGTTAATAAGCCCTCGATGAAAATTGAAATAACTGAGAAAATCCGACGATTCTCAGCAGTTGCATATCAGGTCAATTCCGGCCCGGGTGCGGTGTCTCACGCTTGTAATCCTAGCACTCTGGAGGCCGAGGCGGCGGATTGCTCGAGGTCAGGAGTTCAAACCAGCCTGAGTGAGACCCCCCGTCTCTACTAAAATAGAAAGAATTAATGACCAACTAAAAATATACATACAAAAAATTAGCCAGGCGGGTGGGCATGCTTGTAGTCCAGCTACTGGGAGGCTGAGGCAGGAGGAATCACTTGACCCAGGAGATTGAGGTTGCTGTGAGCTAGGCTGACGCCACGGCACTCACTCTAGCCTGGAACAAAGCGAGATCTCTGTTCAAAAAAAAACCAAATCAGGCCAATTGGAGACTGGCACGGGGACCCTGCTGGCAGCTCAGCTCTGTCAGCCCACACTAAATGTAGATATTTGAAAAGGAGTTTGAGAAACTGTTTCAGGAATGTTTCCAGTCAGCTCAACATCTCTCACAGAGTAAAAGATACATAACTTAAGAAAAGCAGGAACAGCAGTTAGTTAAATCGCCATAGGAGAACACAAACAGGAAACAGCAGCCTCTCGACATAAATCCAATTGAGAAAGGCCTAGAAACCCGGAGAAGCGTGTATGCATCATCTGCTTTGAAGACTCACAAAGACCCCTGGGTGCCTTTGAGGGAGGTCAGGCCAGGGCAGCTCCCTCCCTGCGAGCACGGCCAGGGGATGCGCGCGAGTGGATTTGGGGCCGAAAGATTCTGAACGCCCCAAAACAAGACTGTCTCGTCCGTGGATGAGACGGAGGATGTCGTGGTGGGAGCAATCAGCCTGCCAAGCATCGCCCTGTCCAGCGGGACGTCTGGGCTGTCCTCCAGGGGCTCGTCCTCTTCCTGCCCACGCATTGGGCCGCCACGTGCACACCCGCCTCCCTTCCTCCCTGATTTGTTATTTTACTCTTGTTTGATGATATCCAGATTTATCATACTTATGTCTTTTCTTTCTTCTTTTTTTTTTTTTTTGATTGAGACAGAGTCTGGCTCTGTCACCCAGGCTACAGTGCCCGTGGCGTCACCTAGCTCACAGCAACCTCAAACTCCTGGCTCAAAGCGATCCTCCTGCCCTCAAGCCTCCCGCCAGTAGCAGTAGCTGGGACTACAGGCAGGCGCCACCATGCCCGGCTAATTTTTCTATATATTTTTAGTTGTCCAATTAATTTCTTTCTATTTTTTTTAGTAGATACGGGGCCTCGCTCTTGCTCAGGCTGGAACTCCTGAGGAATTTCAAACTCCTGACCTTGAGGGATCCGCCGGCCTCAGCCTTCCACAGTGCTCGGATTACAGGCCTGAACCATCGCGCCCGGCCTTATGTCTTTTCTTGTAACTAGCAGTGTCCTTTTGGATATCAGTTTGATGTACATAAATAATAACAATGGCTACCAAGTATTGACTAGAATATTCCAAACAATTTATTTGGTTTTCATAGCTAGTAAGTGGTAGACTCAGGGTTCAAACCCAGTGGGAAAGAGTCTGGCAGGACTTGTTTGGTGTGCGTCCCATCCGTGCCACTTTCTCAGCCACCGACAGAGCATTAGCAGTTTACGAAAACTGTTAACCAAGCTGAGCTGAAGGAGAATTAACTACATCACACACGCACGCACACACACACACACACACACAGGCGTGTGCACATACGCAGACACACACACGCATGGAGGCATGCACACATATGCAGACGCACACACGCACACAGGCGTGTGCACATACACAGACACACACGCACACAGGCGTGCGCACATACACAGACACACACACGCATGCGCACATACACAGACGCACGCACAACCAAATCAGGCCAATTGGAGACTGGCACGGGGACCCTGCTGGCAGCTCAGCTCTGTCAGCCCACACTAAATGTAGATATTTGAAAAGGAGTTTGAGAAACTGTTTCAGGAATGTTTCCAGTCAGCTCAACATCTCTCACAGAGTAAAAGATACATAACTTAAGAAAAGCAGGAACAGCAGTTAGTTAAATCGCCATAGGAGAACACAAACAGGAAACAGCAGCCTCTCGACATAAATCCAATTGAGAAAGGCCTAGAAACCCGGAGAAGCGTGTATGCATCATCTGCTTTGAAGACTCACAAAGACCCCTGGGTGCCTTTGAGGGAGGTCAGGCCAGGGCAGCTCCCTCCCTGCGAGCACGGCCAGGGGATGCGCGCGAGTGGATTTTGGGCCGAAAGATTCTGAACGCCCCAAAAAGACTGTCTCGTCCGTGGATAGAACGGAGGAGTCGTGTGGCAGCAATCAGCCTGCCAAGCATCGCCCTGTCCAGCGGGACGTCTGGGCTGTCCTCCAGGGGCTCGTCCTCTTCCTGCCCACGCATTGGGCTGCCACGTGCACACCCGCCTCCCTTCCTCCCTGATTTGTTATTTTACTCTTGTTTGATGATATCCAGATTTATCATACTTATGTCTTTTCTTTCTTCCTTTTTTTTTTTTTTTTTGATTGAGACAGAGTCTGGCTCTGTCACCCAGGCTACAGGTGCCCGTGGCGTCACCTAGCTCACAGCAACCTCAAACTCCTGGCTCAAAGCGATCCTCCTGCCCTTCAGCCTCCCCCAGTAGCGCATGCCTGTAGTCCCAGCTACTCTGGAGGCTGAGGCAGGAGGATCACTTGAGCCCAGGGGTTTGAGGTTGCTGTGAGCTAGGCTGACACTATGGCACTCACTCTAGCCTGGGCAACAAAGCAAGAGTCTGTCTCAAAAAATAAATAAATAAATAAATAAATAAATAAAAGATTAAAGTTAGTTCCTTGTACGTAACCACCCAGGCATGGCAGCGATAGCCATAAATTCTGGATTGGGTAGCCTTAGGGAAGCAGTTGTCCCCTGACTCGTAATCTCAAGGTGGTTGCTGTAGGCACTAGGCATAGATAAAGGACCAAGATTAGCAAGGATGGACAAAGTGAGCCACAGGGGGCATTTCTCATCCCCAGCTTCTCTTAGGATGACCCCCTAAGATCTTCGGCTGAACCCCGGCGGCTGTGCTGGCTTAGGTCGCCCCTCCCTTGAGGGGTCTTAACTGTCATTAACTAACCAGCCATCTTATGGGGTGTACGCAAAAAATCACAGGAACAATGTGTTTATCGTGTAGCCTCCTGACCCCCAATGCTGTGGGGTGAGGTAGCTCTTGCTTACTTACAACTCAGGTCCTTTGTTATGCCTCTAGGCAACACCTTGTTTATCACAGGGAGCCTGTCCCGAACAGACTACTTTCAAACGCTCTGGGCAGAACACGTACATTACTCACTAACTTTAATTCTTAAACTAGGAAAATATATGTCCGTCCCCTCCAGATGCCACGGCACTCACTCTAGCCTGGGCAACAAAGTGAGACTCTCTTTCTCAAAAAAAAAAAATCTCCTGGTCTGGATGGAACACAGCTCAGAGTACCAGAACGAAAATCAATGAAGGGTAGCGCCAAGTCAGAGAGGCAGCGAGGTGTCAGAAGTGTAAGGCTGGTGGCAGCCCCCTCCCCTCCTTAGATCGGAAAAAAAAAAAAAATGCTCACGTGACCTGACCTGCCAAGGACAAACTGCCAGGCCCCACTGAGAGGATCCACACCCAGATCTCCACCTGGATTCCACAAATACCTCCAGCCCCTCCTAAAATCCCCAGCTCTTCCCACCAAAAATCCCTAGTCCCGCCCAAAGGGTATAAAAGGCCTCAACCACTTCATACAGGGGCGACTTCTGGGGCTCCCCTCTCTTGGGGCCCCAGAACCTCATCCAGGAGTGTATAATAAAGCCACATGGTTTGGTCCCCACTCTCTCTCTCCCTCTCTGTCTTTTCTTTTCGCTGCTGCCAAAAAACCTTACAAGACGGCTGGAGATAGTGCAGCTCTGACTCCCAAAGATGGGAAGAAAGATGAATGTTGGAAACTACAGTCAGTGGCCTTGACAATGATTGTAGGCAAAAATCCTCAAATAAGACACACAAAGGTATTTTGTGAGCCTGAGAAGAACTGAGTGTGGCCACCAGGGGCCCATGGGGTCTCAGCAAGGGCAGGGAACACCGGATTGTTCTTGTCTCGTGTCATCCTGCCGGGTTGCACACTGACAAGGCAGCGGCGCAGGCAAGGGGCTGCCTTTGATGAAGCATTTCACAGCGTCCCGAATCATATCCTGCAACAGATGGAGGAATATGGAGTAGGTCGCGGGACAGCCAGGAGAAACTGGAGCTGATTGGGTGGCAGTATCCAAAGGTGCTGGAGGGTCTCACCTCGATCTGGCCCAGCTCAATACTTCCACCGTGTCTTATGCATGACGAAAAGGGCATGTTTAGCATATGACTGGATGGCACAGTTTGAAGAAATAGCAAATCCTTTGAATTCTGGAATCGGTACACAGAATCCATCTGGACAGAACGAACAGTTTCTAACAGGATGAAGTCTTTCCTCTCTCTGCCCACAGCCCATGCTCCTACTTTATGGGTTTTGCCCAAGGTTTCTCCTGTGTTTACGACTGTGTCGGAGCCTCCCCTGCCTCCCCACATGCTCTCTCCCTGTGGGAAAAAGCATCTTTCCCACCTTAACCTCAGGAATCCTCCTTTCATCTCTCCAGTAATTGGCTGGACCGTCATGGCTGGAACTGAAGCCGCACGGCTGCCCAAGCACGCCCTCACGCTGAAGCTCCGGCGGCCACTCCTCTGTCTTGTTCCAGGCGACTCTCCCTGAGCCCTAAAGGCCAGCCCTCCGCTCTCCCCCCACCTGGCCCTGTCAGTCATCTGCCCTCTCTCCTGTAGCTTCAGGGACTCCTCCTCGGCTCCTTCCTCGCTTCCTACTCATAAAAGCAACAACAAAAACAAAAAACAAAAACAAAACACCTCTTTTTTGTTTTGCTCTCACCCCTTCTCAATCAACCTCTTCAAGAGACTTGTTTCCGCCACTCCAGCGACTGGGCTGTCGGAAGCAGACTCCGGGGACGGAGCTTGGGAAGCAGGACACTGGCTAGGAACGACACTGGCTAGGAACGACCCGTGAAGAGCGAGGAAGAGGCTGGGCTGCAGCCTCACGCCTGCAGCAGCTCCAGAGGGTAGCCCGCCCCCCGGAGCAAGCCCTGTGCCCCCGCGTCTGGGTCCCGTCTGCTCCGCAGCCAGCACCTGGCCCTTGGCGGGATCTGGGCGCCCCCTTCCTTTCTGGCACCACTGAAATCCACCTTCCGCCTCCACTTTCATTTCACTCATCCGATCCCTTGGCCCCCGTGAGGGATCCAATGGGCATTTCTTGGTTCTTTCCTTACAGCTCACCTCGCTTTCCGAAGTCTCGGCTCCCTCGAGTCCCACAGTAACGTCTTGCCCTCCCTCTTTGGACTGCTCCAGCCACAGTCCCAGCCCGCTCCGGGCTCCAGTCCTCCATGCACCACCCAAGTGCGGGGACTCCACCCTCGATCCGCCCTGCCCTTCCTCCACACCCTCCCGGTGACCTCACCTGCCACACGAGTTTCAGTGCCGGTCACGTGGCCTTGACTGAAATCAGCTCCCAGCCCGCCCTCGCTCCTCAGCCGCAGAGCGCCGGGCTCACTGGCGCTGGCGTCTCCATGCTCCGGCTGTCACAGCGGGGAAGTTCTGCTTCTCCTTGCCCGCCACGGCCCCACCCTGCAGAAGGCTAACTTTTGCAGTGCGAGAATTCGGGGATCCTTTGAACCTGCACCATCTTTGAACCTAGAAAAGTTCCTTTTCTAGGCAGCCAGCCTTGCTCGGTCCTGCCTGGTGTGGTGTGAACTCGGCCTGACAACGTCCGGACCCTGCGGACGGAGATTCGCAGCGCTGGCGTGTAAATAGCCGGTGCTGGCTGCTGAGGCCAAAAGGGTATTTGTCACCGATCACACCCACTGCTTGCCCAACCAGGTGTGGGCCTCTGACTCAGTGGGTCCCCAGGAAAGAGTTATTCAGAATTTTCTTATTACAGGTGATGAGAGGTGATAGTGATTTTGTTTTATACTTTGCATTTCTCCTGAAGAAAAGAGTTCTCTGAGCAGGTGGGTTTTAGCCACACCTTTTATTCCCAGTCCTATGCCAACGTGGCAAAGGCTTGCAAAAAAGGCATTTCTCAGGGAAAATTATCTCCACTTCATTTAAATGTATCATGCTTGGTGTATATCTGTCCTTTCCAAATTGGACTTTCCGGTTGTGTTCAAGAGATAATTATCAAGTAAGTTCAATGTGCCGCTAAGTACAGGACAATTCTTGACTTCAGGAACCCAAAGGGTGGTGAAAGGAGTAAGTCCAACGCGAGCACACGCGAGTTTGCTGACCATCACAAAAGCCATCGCGACTAAGTGCTGTGGACTCTGGGCAAGGGAAATGTCTCCGTCTAGGCTGGCTTCACGAGGACTTAAATGATAGGGACCAAAAAGAGAGATCAGATTTCAAGGAGTGAGCACAAGACAGAAATAAGCAAGAAAAAATGATGACACACAAGGAATAAAGAGGAAAGAGTTCCATCAGAAGAACATCTTCAGAGAATTGCAAAATAAACAAAGTAATAGTAAGGAAATTTTCTTATAGCTGAAGCCAAATACTGAGACCATGGAAATACCCTGGGAGGTTAGACAGAGGCAAAGTCATGGGGGAAAGATTCTTAAAATGATATTACTAACAGGAGGTGGGTGGGAAAGGCCAAGGCCTCGCCCCATCAACCCTTCCTCGGCCCTAGCTTTGGCCCAACCTCTTTTTGGACTTCCCTTTCCGCCACCACAGGCAGCTTGGGTGTCGCAGCTCTGAGACCTCTCCCATCTGCTCCCCAAGAACAGTGCTCACTAAGAGGAGACGCTGGGGTGTTGATCTGTCTCTTCTGGCTTGGCAGAATGTTGCCCCTAATGTTGCCCAGGTGGGTACCTCCCACCTAGTTGTAATTAAGCAAGAACACTCTAGTCCTTGTTCTTAAATGAAGGAAATGAAGATTCATGAGGACAAGAATGTTTCCAGCTTGGTGACCTCCCAAAGTGAGCTTGGCAGCCTGTCTTCCCATTCTGGCTTTGGAAATACCCTAAGGAAACTGCGGAGGAGTGGAGGATGCTGATAGCAGTTATAATTGCTAAAGCGGTTAGGGATTTAACACATTATGTATGCCTGAAAAGTAGTTAAAGTTCCCATCTTACAGAAGAGGAAACCGGAGCTCAAAGATGCTACATCCAATGCCACTATGCAGAGATGCAGGGGCTGAGTCTAGTTTCCCAGAGGTCTCGGTGGGGCCCGAGGGACTGGGTAACATGGCCATCTCTTGCACATGCCTATGGATTCGCAGCTGGGAAGCAATCTGGGGAGACGGCAGGTAGCGCAGGGATGGATCAGACACTGTTAACCCAGCTCCAGACAAAGCTACATAGGCAGGTTGAGCTAGTTAAAGTTGCGTGTGGCTCTTGAGTAAGAAAAATTCAGTACCATGGCATGACTGAATAGGAGTTTACTTTTCTCTTGTTTCAAAAAGACTGGAGCAGGCAGCCCAGGGGCGAAACAGCTGATCAAAAGGGTACTAAGGGCCCAATCTCCTCCTAGGCATCTCCACATCTGTCTTCTGTGTCGCGGACACGAGACAGCTGTTCCACCTGCGGACATCACATCCACATTCCAGGCAGGAAGGAGGAGGAAAGAAAGAGATGTGTCCCAACTGAAACTATCTTTTAAAGAAGAAAGAGAAACAGGAAAGCAACGCTTCCCTGAAAGCCCCACAGCAGGCTTCCGCTGACGGCTGGCGTGCGGACGGTCACGCTGCGCTCTCGGTGGCAGGAGCCTGGGGAAGGAGGGGTTTCCGGGCGTGGGCATCACAGGCAGAGTCGAGGTGCCGCTGTTGAGAGGAAAGAGGCCCGCGGCCTTTGAGGAGGGATTTGGCTACGCCTGCCACAGAGGGTCACGGGACACCCAGCCAGAGGAGGGCTACCGAAGGGGGCACTCAGTCCAGACGAGCAGGAGATGTGGGAGAAATGCTCCGTCCAGGGAACGTGTGGGGCGGCGTCTCGTCCTCCCGCTCCCCAGGGTGCCGGCAGCCGGCGGACGAGGGGCCGCGTCAGCTGAAGCTCGGAGCACAACGCCGCTCGGGCCGGCGGGCTGCCTGCCCTGGGCACGAGGACACTGGAAGGACTCAGAGGCGGCCTCGGAACCAAGGCCTCTCCGCCCTCTCCCGCCCTGTCTCTCACCCTCATTCTCCCCGAGGACAGGCTCGCCAGAGTCCTCTTCCGCCAGGTGGGCCATGCAAACCAGGCCCCTTTCCCCAAGCAAGCAATGAAAGCCGGAGTCATTACTCGGCCTTCCCACCCTCTGTCTAGGAGCTTGCCATAAAGACATTCTGCGTCCCTTGTCTCGTGGTAGGTCCCGAGACCCTCGTTCCAGAGGGGCCTGCCCCAGGCCTGGGAGGAAGAAACCCTACGACCAGAGGCCAAGGAGAATCTGAACAGACCGGCCCTGCGGGCTTCTCTGCCCCTCTGGCAGCATCACTTAGCCTCGCCCTCTTGTTCAGCCACGTTTCTACATGGCTGATCCTTCTTCATCTGACCTAAGCATTAAAATAGTTTTATGTGTCACATAAAACTTTTTTTATGGGTTTTAAAATTTTATTCATTTATTTATTTGGAGACAGGGTCTCACTCTGTCACCCAGGCTGGAGTGTAGTGACATGACCATAGCTCACTGCAACCTCTAACTCCTGGGCTCAAGCGATCCTCCTGCCTCAGCCTCCCCAGTAGCTGGGACCACAGATGTGTGCCACCATGCCTGTTAATTTTTAATTTTTTTGTAGATGGGCTCTTGGTATATTGCCCAGGCTGGTCTCAAACTCCTGGCCTCAATCAAGTGCTGGGATTACAGGTGTAAGCCACCACCCTAGCCCATATAAAACTTTGATTAAATAACTATCTCATGTTTTTCTCTCATTAGCCTGTCTTTTGTTATAGACGTGTCACTGTGACCCCTACGACGGGGAGAAAAAGGATCACACGCTTTCTGCCCCTCGTTTCACCTGCCCCTATAAAGGCAAGGGGGACGAGGGAAAAGTGAGGAAGGGTGACTGGAGACAGGAGGCAGCGGCTGCCGTGGCAGAGGGTGAGGACTTAGAGCGGCGCGGCGGGGCGGACAGGAAGGCAGGCGCTGTGGGGGGACAGTGCCCTGCGTGGTGGAAGCGTGGCCACAAGCTTTGCCGCCTTGGGCGCCTGTGATGTCATGAGCTGCCTCGTAACATACTCAGCACAGGTTCTGGCTGTGGTTTCTGGCTCGTAACTGGCCGTGTGCCTCCGTTGTCATGTCGGTGCTCTGGGCCCCAGAGCAGGCCGCAGGGAGCCAAGCGACTCTGGCCTCCCCGCCCTCGTCTCACTCGCTTCTCTTTCTCCCCAGGGCAGGGACCTTCTCCTGCCTTTCTACCTCAGACCTGCCTTAGCTGACTGTGGGTCAAAAGACCCTATTTCAGGGGTCCTGAAAGGGGTCCTGCCCCATGCGCTGGAGGAAGGAGACTGCATGGCGAGGCCACGAAGAGTCTGGACAGGCCTTGCTGGGTCTCCCACTCAGCCTGTTAGTGTTGGGTCCCACCCCTTCGTCCAGCCATCAACACCATTGTCCACATGTCGATCATGCCTGGCCAATGAAGTCACCTAAGAGGAGCTTCTGGGCAGCTGAACATGTGGGGGCTCCTGGAGACCGGGGAGGCCGTGGAGGCGGCAAGCCCCTCCCCCGGCCTCCACCCATGCTAGCCTTGTCATAAGCCAGTAAATGTGAGTGAGTGCCTCCCCGGGTTTCCAGAGCCAGTCTAGCAAATTACCGAGACCCAAAGAGGGGGTCAGGGGAACCCCAGCTTGAAGCTGATCTGTCAGAAGTTCCAGGGGCCCAGACTGGTAACTCAAAAAGCCAATAGCTAACCCTGGTAATAAACCCTGATGAAAATGTGAAATAACTGAGAAAATGACGATTCTCAGCAGTTGCAATCAGGTCAATTCGGCCGGGTGCGGTGGCTCACGCTTGTAATCCTAGCACTCTGGGAGGCCGAGGCGGGCGGATTGCTCGAGGTCAGGAGTTCAAAACCAGCCTGAGTGAGACCCCCCGTCTCTACTAAAAATAGAAAGAAATTAATTGACCAACTAAAAATATACATACAAAAAATTAGCCAGGCGTGGTGGCGCATGCTTGTAGTCCCAGCTACTTGGGAGGCTGAGGCAGGAGGATCACTTGAGCCCAGGAGATTGAGGTTGCTGTGAGCTAGGCTGACGCCACGGCACTCACTCTAGCCTGGGCAACAAAGCGAGACTCTGTCTCAAAAAAAAACCAAATCAGGCCAATTGGAGACTGGCACGGGGACCCTGCTGGCAGCTCAGCTCTGTCAGCCCACACTAAATGTAGATATTTGAAAAGGAGTTTGAGAAACTGTTTCAGGAAATGTTTCCAGTCAGCTCAAACATCTCTCACAGAGTAAGATACATAACTTAAGAGAAAGCAGGAA